CCTTATGAATAAATAGGTCGTGTCCGTTCCACGAAAGAAACATGTTGAATCGACGAATCTGCGCGGAACTATGGCTTTCGCTACAAGATCCGCCGTGTGCTCGCCGAGACCGAACCGTCGCGCCGCGCCGTGCGCCGTTCGGGACACATTGCACATCCTCTCGGCTCTCTTTCTCACCCCCGGCAACACTTATCCCAGATACCAAACCAAAGATTCCGAATAGAATCTCTGAGGTGCGCTCATATAGGGTGTTGTGAAATATACATTTGAAAGATTATTCAGAATAAAATATATATTTCTTAAAGGGGTGATATATTCAAAGAGATTATTATTTGATCAGAAATATTTAAAAATATCTTGCTAAATTGAAATGTCATTAAAATAAAATCCATCGAGGACTATAATATATAGATCCGTTGTTACATTTTTAATATAATTTTTAATCGCTTGCAAGGATAAAATTAACAATGTTGAAGCAATTTTCGATCTTTTTCATCCGCGATTAACATTGAATTGCGAGTATTTTTGGGACACCGTGTGTGCTGCAAATATTCTGGTGTTCTTCTAACATTGTACGCACCGGCAACATATAAAGCCCGATGCTAAACTTACTCTAAGAAGCACATAGAAACGATAATGGGCGCAGTGCAGTTAGTGCACGTGTGCCGCGGACGAAACGGGTTTCGCGTGTTATCGCACAGTGCATCGACTGCGTTAATGAAGGGAATTTTTGAACGAGGCTTTTATGTTTTTGACATTTAAAAATAACCTTTACGAGCGCGGATAAAAGCAATATTTCCGTTTCCCATGGTCATTTAAATTGTATTTTCCAGACGGCGCGGCGCGGCGATTATATTAATTATAGCTGAGAAAAATGATCTATTTTTTCTGTAAAATTAAACTGAATTATTTAGTACTAGAAATATTAGAGATAATTATCGACCGTTTTTATTTTTTTTAAATTAATATTATATTTTTTTGTGTAAAAGACAGAATTCTGAAACTTTGACTTTAATAATTATGTTCTTTATACTGATGAAATATTTAATTTTTCTTATTTTATTTTCATAAATAATTTACTTGCTTGGTTCTTTTAGTGAGTAAGAAACGTTGATTCTTCTAGAATCAAAAACTACGAGAATTTTGTATTTTTGAACAATTATTTATTACACAATTGGAAAATTTGCGTTAAAAACACATTTTACATATATTCCGAACGGTCCATTCAAATTTTTGTGTTAATTTAACAAGAGAAATATGTAAAAAAGTAACACAAACATTATATAAAAATTAACACAAAGAATGTAACACTGACAATTATGAAACGAATTGTGACAACATATTTTTTCAGTAAAATTAACATTTATAATATGTTGAAATGAATATGTACATTTATTTGTTGCTCATTTATCTTTGAATTTACGTTTTAAAACTATATTATTTTTATATTATTTATTTATTTACTCATAAATCATTATTTTAACACTGAAAAATGTTAAATGTGTCAATTTAACACAAAATAACAATTACATTATGTTAAATTAACACTCGATTGTGTGAAAAATTCAATATAAATTTTAATAAGGATTTGAGTGGGCCGTTTTTTTAATACAAATATGAAATGTTTCCTATTGTGTACGTAATATATTGTGATGAAAAGTAGATCTAACAAATATAATAAAATTGAAACACTTCTATGTTATAAAGTTACTTAATATATTGAATGTACATAATTTAACAATTATTTGCTGAAATGCGTTATCGAACAGTTTCATGAATGAATTCATGATATGTAAACTTATTCAAAATTAACACTTGTAATATCCTCGCGTCCAATTTGTCATCGTCCGCGTTCCATTATCCGCGGTGCAAAGATCTCGTCTAAGCGGCTGTAGGGAGCGCAAATTAACGCGCGCGACGCATCAAGATTTGAATAATTTCGCACAACTCGGCCCGCACGCGCGTAAAATTCGTCCCATTACATCCGACGCGCGCATCGGAGCGTGACGAAATTTCCAGACAGGGGTGAAGTCGTCGGTTTGTCGTCGCGCCGGCACTCAATTCTCGGTAATTTCGATATCTTCTATCATCCATCGTTAAGGGACGCGGCGATTTTATCGGTCAATTACGCAAACAGAGCGCTTAGAAGGAGACGCGAGAGAAACATCCCCTAAGGGGGCGCCCTATCGTGACGATTGGCCAATCTTCTCTTTTTCTTTTTCTCTCTTTCTCTCTCTGTCTTTCCGCGAGAAGGGCGCATTGCAGCCGGCGAAACCCTCGAAAAACAGACGGATTGACGGAAGCCTCATGGCTCGTCTCGTGTTCCATCGCTCGCAGTTTATCCCCTTCGCGTAAATCAGCTTTCCGGAAGTTTTAGCCGTGGAAAGTTTATTAAACGCGTGAAGTGCTGCACAGCCACGGAGAGATGCGATTGCATGTGAGAACGATATAATAACGAAAGTCTCACGTCGCGCGCGCGCGCGCGCGTGTCTCTTCCTAGTTGAGGAAAACGAGAATTCTCGACTACGGGCTGAAGGCCCGCGCGAATGCGGGCGTAGAGATACGTCATTTTTTGTTTTCGCCCACGCGCTATAAAGTTGCAATATGTAATTATATCTGCCCGTTGGATAACATCTCGCGGAAATACAATATTTTCTATGGGACGGAGATAGATGCAGACAGCGAGTAGCGATGGCGATTATTATTTGTGCACACGCTTTTTCACTCTTACGATCAACATTGTAATTATCTATGATATAGTTAATTTATTACTTAACTGCTGGTAAGATATACAATACCATATACTTTTCATAATTTTTTGACATCCTTTACTTATGCGTAATATGTTATCTCTTTCTGCTGTTACTGACACTTACAAGCTTATTTAAATATTTACAATTTTTTTAATTTAATAAAATTTTAAAAAAATATTGAAATAATATGGTTAACTGTATTTGAATCTGTTCGTGTTTAGGTGACCCGATGATAGAATAAATCGATATGCGCTACTAAGCGCGTGGATGGTATTATTCTTACGGTGTCATTGCTCCGTTCTGTACTTGCGTATTAAATTTTCAATCGCGCACGACGCGACACGCGACATGCCGTCGGCGTTTATCTACCATTATAACACAGTTGTGTATTGCTGCGACGATCCTCCAGGTTATACCCGCCGCGAGAAACGCCTCGAGAAAGCACGCATCCGTGCCTACGAAACACGATCCACGGCTGTTTGCCGACTTTATGTTTTGTTAACTACGAATCCGCGGAATCGTACGAAAGGCGGCGCAAGCGAGTTTATTCGTTACATTTCCGACGCCTTGTTTGAACACCGGTCGTGGTAATTTTGATAAATACAACCTCCCGAGTACATTTTACGAGCCGCTCTCGGCGAAAAATGTCAAAGGTTTCCGCATTAATCTTCTATCGTCGTTGCTTTGCTCGCGCGATACAAATTAAATATTTAAAAATTTGATAACGCACACACATACGTTGATTATGAAAAAAAACACATCGTCTCTCGACCGTTGAACTCGCACGATTAGTCACGAGAAGTACGATTTGTACGATGACCATACATAATTTATTATAAAGGACTGTCCTTTATTTTTTATAGCTATCCTTTAGATTAATTTATATTTTCAAAGCTCAATATATTTTATCTTTTATTCTAACAATATTATGGGAAAAAATATACACACATATATAATTTGTTTTTTCTTGTTAATTATATTTTTATTTTTTAAATTAAAATTATTCAGATTAGATTCATTTTCATTTTTTATTATTTTGAACTTATTTTAGATTTAAACTTAGGATTTATTTCAACACAATCGGACCAATTTCAAATATTTGAAAACAGTATCTCATTTTGGTATACCGCGCAGGAAAATTTCTTTTTTTAATGCGCAGACTCTCGATAGTCATAAATGATTGGGAAACGTGTAGAGGAATAAAGCTCTAAAATTTTCAGGTTAGTTTTTTATTTTATCTAATAAAATAATCACCGTAAAACTAAAATGTGATTTGTGAAATACAGCTTTGGTCGTAAGTATAAAATACTCTCAATTTACTGCATTTTTTTGGGAAAGCTGGTAATAAAAGTCAAAGAAAAACTAAATAATATTTATTTAAAAAAATAATATTAATATTATTTAATATCAAATATTAAAATTATTTAAAAAAAATAAATATTTTGCAATAAAATTGTTTCTTTATTAAGTTTTTATCAGATTATAGAATATTTACGTAAATTTATGGGGGCACTTTGTACTTGTGACCAAGACTGTATAATTTATAAAATTCGAAACTTTAGCATAAATAAAGAAAAGTAGACATTAAAATGGAAACTTTCACTAACTAATGGAAATATTTCTTTTCTCGCTTTTCGTATAACATCTTTTTGCTCTTTTTGTGTGATTCGATGCACCCCCCATCGAATCTTCGTGCACCCCACATAAAGTCGCGTACTATTTGCCTCCAAAATGGAAAAAAAAGAGATCTCAATCTCTCGCGTGCAAGCAAAGCAAAGGATTACCATTAAAAAGCGTTTCCACCCTCCGCCCGTTGCTCCGCGCGCTCCTGGGGCCTTCCGGTCCCCGCTCATTACCCTCCGCGTGTCCGCACGTGCAGCATGCATGTGCAACGAACGATGCCTACGCGCCGGTGGATCCTCTCTCCTCATTCTCCCTTCCTCCCCCCTCTCTCGCTCTCCTGTTCCTCTCCTCTCCCTGGTTCGCCGAGCGTATTGATTGAGGTGAATGCACGATGCTCGGCGTCGGCGTCGTCTCTCCTGGTCCCGCGGACGGGGGTGGAAGTGCATACGGCACTGCCGGTGTACTTGCGGTGGAAGTGGCGAGTCGCGAGAGCTCCCGAGTTGGGAAGGGAGAGAGAGAGAGACAGGGAGAGGAGAGGAAGAGAGGAGTGACAGGAAGAAGGAGAGGGAGAGAGACAGGCACGAGGCACCGGTGGAGGAGGCGTTATATACCGGCTGGATCCTCGTTCGACCGTTCAGTTTCTCGCCCGAACTCGCGGCACCGACAACCGCGAGAGAGCATCGACACACCGCAGAGCACTTGTCACTCGCAGCTGATCAGAGAGATCGCGATCATCTGAATATCGCGGAAGAAGTTTGAAGACGAAGAGATCCGTTCGTGCGGGCTCGTGTTTCCGTCCGCGCGTACCCCTGGAACAGGGATAACCCCTGACGGGGAGGGCTGGCTGCTTCGGGGTCGCTCAGAGGCACCTTCTTCGTGGAACTGTCCTAGGTCGGGTTAGGTCCTGGGGGATTGCCATGGCCACCTACGCGACGTACAGGCATGTCGAACTCGACAATGTTGGATACGGGAAGAAAAGGTAACGATGACAATACGTGAAACAGAGAGAGGGGGAGAGAGAGAGAGAGAGAGAGAAAGAGGAAAAGATAGAGCGGGAGCGTACCGCACTGCGGACTTCCCATGGGCGACATTTCCGGTTGAACTGCGCGTTGAATTATACTTTCTCGTCTTTTGCCTTTTTCCAAATAAGAGTGCTTATTCCGGTTGTTAATTTTCCATAAACTGAAGTTTCGTCGCGTATTCGCGAACGAAAGGAATGCCGAGGGAACCAATCAATAGTCGTGTTTGACTTAGGGTAGATGCACCCATGACTGGTCACCAGACCGAGTGGTCACAGACGGAGTGTTATTTACGTGTGTGTTGTGCAATGCAAAGTATAATAGTTTGAATTTTACGCGTGACTATTTTTTTCTATTAATTACAGAGGCAAAAAATGTGTAACGGTAGACTTGATATTTCCTTGCGTTTCGTTAGTAATTAACATTATTTATCTATTGTTTATTTAATTATTAATTTTAAATAAATTCGTAACAATTGCGCCGTCCAGACAATTACAATAGCGAGAAGGGTTGGAGGTTCTCCAGAGCTGCGCGTGCTGAAACGGCAGTAAAGATTTCTCAGCGTGTATCGTGCGCGTTTCCTCCCTCCTATCTCGCTCTCTCAGTTGCATAAGATTTAGAGCCTCAGTTGAGCTTTGTTAATTGCGAGAGGCGTAGAACGGACGTAGCGAATCGTGGGCAAGATTCGCAGGTGTTGTTCCCGAGCGCAAAAGGTGAAGGGCAGTTTACGTGCAGATCGGACGCGCACTTAAACCGATTATTTATAAGCTCGCGTGGAAACCAGCGAGGAACGCGGCGGTCGTTCCACCAATCGAATGACAGGTTTGATCGATTTATATCCAGGCCGGTCGTTCACGGCGTGAATACATGCGAGCGAGATGCTGCGCTCCGCTAACGATATACGTTGACATATCGCGAGTAGTAAGACGTTTACGGGATCGCGAATAAACTTAAATAGGGTCGAATCGATCGCGAGGGATTTGCCATATAATCTTCTCGTCTGCCGACCGTCATTCGTGGAGCAAACGTGTTTTACAGTGTCCCATAAACAGTTTTAATTATTGTATTAAGTTACGGAAAGACACGAATGTCGCCCGATCGTCTCGTTGCAAAACAGGTGCATTTAATCGTTAATTGATGTTCGACTTTACTTTGATACTCCTTTACCTTGGTGACACGATAAGCGTTATCAGGATACCTCTCTCAGGAAACATCATTTCCTTCGAAGGATGCTGATAACGAATCGAGTGCAAGGCAACATGCGATAGTAATGTGAAAAAAAGAGATACCGCGCTGTTAAATTCATAATGTCAAATTATAATCAATTCGAGTCTTGACTTTTAATCATTTCTACATTGCGAGAACAATGTTTGATATCTGTGACTATGATTCCTTGGCAAAATAATTATGATTAGGAGTTTCATTTTTATCATCAATTTACTGTTTTAATGTAGTAATAATAATTATATCTACGGAAAGAACAATTTTGCTGAATGCAAATTTGAAAATAATTTTTGTTCAATAATCAAAATAATTTTGTACGAAAGTCAAAAATGATTGCTAGAATAACAAAACGTTTTACAGCAATGTTTATCAGTTTTATAATAACATTCCAACAAATTATTTTGATGATTTAACAAAAAATTATTTTTAGATCTGTATTTAGCAAAATTTTTATACTTTTTTTTAGATCTTTCAACAAAATCGTTCTTTCCATGATATAGTTCTACCAAACAAATATATAGTTAGTACCGAAAATAACTAGAGAGGATCAGACAGATCTCAGGATTCTGTCACGTACGAACGCAAGAGTAAAGATTTCACGGAAAAATCGCTGACTTTCGATGCAATTTAGTCGGGGCTTTCTTTGTGGTCGCAAACGCAAAAGAATATAAATAGTTGACACCGAAATTATTTATACATTATAGTTAAATTATAATAATCGCACGATTTTATTTTCTCAGTGCATAGATCGCCACTGCTTCTCAATATGTTTTCAATTTACCTATATAATAAAAGATGAAGTTGAATAGTTTAACTGAAGAAATGTATTAAATTTGACTCAAATTTTTAATTATTTTTTTAAGTGCATACTTAACATATGAACGTTATTTACTATGAACCTAATGTAAACAATTCAACCATAGAAATGAATTGATTAGACATGGTTGTTTTTTTTAACAACATGTTTTGTATTAAAATAATACATATTCACACGCGTGGAATTTAAAAACAATATATTATTACAACAAAATATTTAACTCTCAAGGAACTGGTTTAAATTTGCTCCTTTAATATTTAACGGTATGCTTCTAGATTTCTCATTTCTACGAATTTCTATTGACAAAAGAATATGCAGCAGTTTGTTTAATTAAGTGTTCTACGTTTATTCATGCATACATTATGACATTCTAATTTCTGCGTTGTCATCATTTTTTTCTCAGTGTGTGCAATCGTGGCCCAGAAATGTGGTATTGAAAAGTCTTGAGTTTTCTCGGAATTTTAATGGTTTTCAACTCATTATCTCTTCGACAGTGATTAATAAAGCGACAAAATTGTGTCTGCGCCACCGTTAGTCAAGAAAGAGATGTATCGGGAGAAGATAATAAAAGAAGGGATCAGTAGCAGAGCGAGATTTAGAAAGCGTGACTGCTCCGTGCCTTATCAAGCGTATATAACCGCGCATCGCGAGAAGGACGCCGCGCAATCTCTGGCTCATTTCTCGGCCTTTTTTTGTAATAACCGCCCGTGCGAGAATTAATCGACCGATGAATCTCGCGCGGCGAATCCCCTCGCCGCGAAATGAGTGTCTTGCCATAATCTAAAAATGTACTAATAATTAGGGATAGCAGCACTTTTATGGAAGCTTTTTACGAGAAATATCGCAAAATATCGAGTTACCACAATGATTTATAATTGAAACGTCACAGCTAATAAATGTCCGCGGTCGGTGTTTTTCTCCTTTCCTGCACCGGCCTGGGGAAGAGGAGTTTGTTGCTGAATCTAATATCTCGGTTATGATAAATTACACGTTTCGATACGCGCGCGGACGGGTTAATCCGCCGACGTGGCGCGTAATTGACTACAGATTCTCCCGGTACTAATTGACGAGAGCGGCTCTCCTCCGTGGGTGTCCGTTGACCCTGTGTTGCCGGCTGCAACGCACGCCGCAAGTTAGTTTCGAAGGAGATGAATCCTCGCGCGAGCGTGTATATAGGGAAGAAAGCGCCGCGGCCGAAAGATTTATGCAATTGAGCTTCGTTAAAGTTGTCCTGGTCAACGCCCTCGCGTAATTGACGTGTGTTATCCTGCGCACGAGCGATGGTATAATTACGCGGATGTCACCACGCCGCGCTTAATTACCGTCCGTCATGATTTCTTTCTTTTTTTTTCGTGTTCGTGCTCGGTGAACGCGAGCGCGTGCGCGCGCATACTTTTTCAAAAAATACCGAGATTTCCGCGTTTGCGTATTAATCGCGCAGAGTGTCGTCGGCAGTGTTCGCCCCGTCTTCTCTATAGGTAGGTATATATTCGTTACGCGACGAAAAACCACGAGTGTGTCGCGGAATTCACGACTCGCGAGCCAGGTTAATAGCGGCTTCGTGCCGGGGTGTTGAATTAACTGCGGCTGCCTGATCGGCGTGCGAGATTAGACGACGAGACTTTATACCGGGTTAATGGCTCTCTCGGTGTATTCTGAATGGGAATTCCGCGGTATCGCATTGCCATTCAAACGTATTCTCCGTGTTTCGTGCAAGGCACGTACAGTTAGATTGCGAGCTAATTAATGAACGAGTCGAAAATTAAGGGATCGACAATTAGGCTTAACGAAAAGAATATAAATAATAAAACAATTAAGAAGGGAAATGACTGTTCTTTATGTTTAATAATATTAAGCAAATGAATAAAAGTCTATTTATGTGTGTATATACTCCAAAAAAATCTTAACTCGTATACAGTAGAAAAAATTTTGTATTATTTGTGTTAAAAATGGTGTTAACTCATTTAAGTGTTTATTTAATGAAATGTGATTATGTTAATTTGAATATTTTGTGTTAAATTGATATTGAACATTTTTTAAAATAGCACAATTTATCAATAAGTGAATAAATTATATAAAAATAATGTAATTTTTTAAAAGATAAATTTAAAAATAAATAAATGTATATTTTAATTTAACATATGTTAATTTTATTGAAATATGTTTTCACAATTTATTTTCAAATTATATAAAAATGTTATATTTTTTTAATTCGTTTTTTTACGTAATGTTTATGTTATTTTCTAACGTACTCATCTTGTGTTAAATTAACACAAAAGTTTGGATGAATTATTTGGAACATGTAAGATATGTTAAATTTAACACAACTGTTTAAGAATCTGTATTTTAACTTATAATTTGCTAAAATATTGAGTTTAAAAAAATCGCGTAAACGATAATGCGATCTTGAAAAGAAAGTATTGTACTGAGGTTTCCGAGAAAGCTGCGCAATAAAGCAATTAGCAATCTGCCGCAGAAATTCAATTTTACAAAAGATTTTAATATACCAAGGGGGGGGGAGGGTTATAGGTCAAAGCGCGAACGAGTAATGAGATCTCGCGGTGCGCGTTTGCGTACCGAGATTTCTCTCGACAGCAGCGAATTACGGTTTCTTGCGTGTGCACCTGCGTTTCGATTCAGTCTCGAGTGATACTTGTTACGTGCATGCGATATTATCTCGATCGCAACCGATGGCTATCGGTCGGTCGGTCGAGAGGGATGAGCATTGGTACGTGCTCATGCGCCACGTCGAGAGATGCTCCCGTTACAATGCTTTCTCTATGGCAGCTCCGATACAGTGGCGGCTTTGTTCCTCGGGTGATAAACAGAATGATCCCTGGCAACTCCGATCATGGAACTTCTTTGTAACCTGTTTGACGGCATATATATATATATATATATATATATATATATGTGGGA